GAAAAAACGATAAGGGGTAACACGTCGGTTTTTTTTCGGGTCGAAATTTTGAGTTTCGATATCTCAGCTCTGGAAGGGTAGAGCTCCATTGCGCTCAGGTCAAAGTCTCGTGGGCCCTCTATCAGTAATCCAGAGTTTTGAGAAGATTGGAGAAACTTGAATTTTCGCCAAAACTGAAAAAAACGTAAGGGGTAACACTGTCGTTTTTTTTTTCGGGTCGAAATTTTGAGTTTCGATATCTCAGCTCTGGAAGGTCTAGAGCCTCCATTTTTGCGCTCAGGTTCAAGTCTCGCGGCCCTCTATCATAATCCAGAGTTTTGAGAAGATTGGAGAAACTTGATTTTTCGCCAAAAACTGAAAAAAACGTAAGGGGTAACACTGTCGTTTTTTTTTTCGGGTCGAAATTTTGAGTTTCGATATCTCTAGCTCTGGAAGGGTCTAGAGCCTCCATTTTTGCGCTCAGGTCAAAGTCTCGCGGCCTCTATCATAATCCAGAGTTTTGAGAAGATTGGAGAAACTTGATTTTTCGCCCAAAAAACTGAAAAAAAGTAAGGGTAACACTGTCGTTTTTTTTTCGGGTCGAAATTTTGAGTTTCGATATCTCAGCTCTGGAAGGGTCTAGAGCCTCCATTTTTGCGCTCAGGTCAAGTCTCGCGGCCTCTATCATAATCCAGAGTTTTGAGAAGATTGGAGAAACTTGATTTTTGCCCGAAAATGAAAAAAAACGTAAGGGGTAACACTGTCGTCGTTTTTTTTTCGGGTCGAAATTCTTGAGTTTCGATATCTCAGCTCTGGAAGGGTCTAGAGCCTCCATTTTTGCGCTCAGGTCAAAGTCTCGCGGCCTCTATCATAATCCAGAGTTTTGAGAAGATTGGAGAAACTTGATTTTCGCGCCCGAAAACTGAAAAAAACGTAAGGGGTAACACTGTCGTTTTTTTTTCGGGTCGAAATTTTGAGTTTCGATATCTCAGCTCTGGAAGGGTCTAGAGCCTCCATTTTTGCGCTCAGGCAAAGTCTCGCGGCCCTCTATCATAATCCAGAGTTTTGAGAAGATTGGAGAAACTTATTTTTTCGCCGAAACGAAAAAAAAACGTAAGGGGTAACACTGTCGTTTTTTTTTTTCGGGTCGAAATTTGAGTTTCGATATCTCAGCTCTGGAAGGGTCTAGAGCCTCCATTTTTGCACTCAGGTCAAAGTCTCTCGGCCCTCTATCATAATCCAGAGTTTTGAGAAGATTGGGAGAACTTGATTTTTCGCCCGAAAATGAAAAAAACGTAAGGGGTAACACTGTCGTTTTTTTTTCGGGTCGAAATTTTGAGTTTCGATATCTCAGCTCTGGAAGGGTCTAGAGCCTCCATTTTTGCGCTCAGGTCAAAGTCTCGCGGCCTCTATCATAATCCAGAGTTTTGAGAAGATTGGAGAAATTGATTTTTTCCGCCCGAAAACTGAAAAAAACGTAAGGGGTAACACTGTCGTTTTTTTTTTCGGTCGAAATTTTGAGTTTCGATATCTCAGCTCTGGAAGGGTCTAGAGCCTCCATTTTTGCGCTCAGGTCAAAGTCTCGCGGCCTCTCTATCATAATCCAGAGTTTTGAGAAGATTGGAGAAACTTATTTTTCGCCCGAAAACTGAAAAAAAACGTAAGGGGTAACACTGTCGTTTTTTTTCGGGTCGAAATTTTGAGTTTCGATATCTCAGCTCTGGAAGGGTCTAGAGCCTCCATTTTTGCGGCTCAGGTCAAAGTCTCGCGGCCCTCTATCATAATCCAGAGTTTTGAGAAGATTGGAGAAACTTGATTTTTCGCCGAAAACTGAAAAAAACGTAAGGGTAACACTGTCGTTTTTTTTCGGGTCGAAATTTTGAGTTTCGATATCTCAGCTCTGGAAGGGTCTAGAGCCTCCATTTTTGCGCTCAGGTCAAAGTCTCGCGGCCCTCTATCATAATCCAGAGTTTTGAGAAGATTGGAGAAACTTGATTTTTCGCCCGAAAACGAAAAAAACGTAAGGGGTAACACTGTCGTTTTTTTTTCGGGTCGAAATTTTGAGTTTCGATATCTCAGCTCTGGAAGGGTCTAGAGCCTCCATTTTTTGCGCTCAGGTCAAAGTCTCGCGGCCCTCTATCATAATCCAGAGTTTTGAGAAGATTGGAGAAACTTGATTTTTCGCCCGAAAACTGAAAAAAACGTAAGGGGTAACACTGTCGTTTTTTTTTCGGGTCGAAATTTTGAGTTTCGATATCTCAGCTCTGGAAGGGTCTAGAGCCTCCATTTTTGCGCTCAGGTCAAAGTCTCGCGGCCCTCTATCATAATCCAGAGTTTTGAGAAGATTGGAGAAACTTGATTTTCGCCCGAAAACGGAAAAAAACGTAAGGGGTAAACTGTGTCGTTTTTTTTTTCGGGTCGAAATTTTGAGTTTCGATATCTCAGCTCTGGAAGGGTCTAGAGCCTCCATTTTTGCGCTCAGGTCAAAGTCTCGCGGCCCTCTATCATAATCCAGAGTTTTGAGAAGATTGGAGAAACTTGATTTTTCGCCCGAAAACTGAAAAACGTAAGGGGTAACACTGTCGTTTTTTTTTCGGGTCGAAATTTTGAGTTTCGATATCTCAGCTCTGGAAGGGTCTAGAGCCTCCATTTTGCGCTCAGGTCAAAGTCTCGCGGCCCTCTATCATAATCCAGAGTTTTGAGAAGATTGGAGAAACTTGATTTTTCGCCCAAAAACTGAAAAAAACGTAAGGGGTAACACTGTCGTTTTTTTTTTGGGTCGAAATTTTGAGTTTCGATATCTCAGCTCTGGAAGGGTCTAGAGCCTCCATTTTTGCACTCAGGTCAAAGTCTCATGCCCCTCTATCATAATCCAGAGTTTTGAGAAGATTGGAGAAACTTGATTTTTCGCCCAAAACTGAAAAAAACGTAAGGGGTAACACTGTCGTTTTTTTTTTCGGGTCGAAATTTTGAGTTTCGATATCTCAGCTCTGGAAGGGTCTAGAGCCTCCATTTTTGCGCTCAGGTCAAAGTCTCGCGGCCCTCTATCATAATCCAGAGTTTTGAGAAGATTGGAGAAACTTGATTTTTCGCCCGAAAACTGAAAAAAACGTAAGGGGTAACACTGTCGTTTTTTTTTCGGGTCGAAATTTTGAGTTTCGAT